GTAATTAGGTCATTTTGTCCGAATTTGACTTAATCCTCATTTCAATATGATGGGTCACATATTTGAGTTGCAATATACAATTCATTGAAACATTAATGTCTTGTTTCACAAACAAAAAGTTGCCTTTACTTCAGTTTTTTTTTTTCATGTACCTCAGACAGCTAGAAACAAATTGTTGCTGCTCCATATCACAGACATATGCTGCATTTGGACAATCTGTACATAATGTTTATACACAGTTGCAGCAACTTTTGTATGTAGGAAATACAAGCAGATTTATTTTTACTATGTTGCATGTGGGAAAAAACTACTGTACTAACAATACTTTGTGCACCATTTTTGTTAAACTAAAGTTTTTCAAAAAGTTAACAGTTTTGTTACAGCTTTTTGATTTAGTTGAGTTGCTGTTGATTGGCAAATGTTATTTTTCAGCTTTTCAACATTTTCTATACTGTTATTTCATGGTCAGTACCCATTTGGACAGGTCTGACAAATTTCTAAAAGCCCCTTTTCTATGTTTGTTAGTTGCTTGTTAGGTGTACTCAGAAAAACCTGGTACAGTAAAAAGTAAGCTAWCCATCTTTAGTGTAAACTCACAAGGATTTTAACAAGAACACTGGAGCATGAGATGAATGAAATGAGGTGTGGAGTGTTTTGATATGGAGGCATGCTTTGTAAACTGTGGCCAAAGGTTTTGAGAATGACTAATATTTTCAAGTTTTCTTATACTTCAGACTGTATACTTCTATGTACCTTAGAAACATCTGACAAAAGGATGTGAAAGGATGATGAGCAGATGATATTGCCCCAAACACCTCAGAATACATCCGGCTGCTTTTGTCAGCATCACACACAAGTCAACRATCAAGAGAAGACCTCTCCAGTGTGATTACACAGGCTTCACCACAAGATGTAAACCACTGGTGAGCCTCAAAAACAGGAAGACCAGATTAAAATTAGCCAAAGAAAATTTAAATAATAAGCCTTTACAATTCTGTGACAACATCCTATGCAATGATGAGGCATGGATCAACTTGTGCCAGAGTGAGAAGACTGTGGAAAAAGAAGGAACGCTCGTGATCCAATGCAAACCGCCTCATCTGTGATGGGAGTATTGTGTGGGGRTGTATGGCTGCCAAAGGAACTGGTTCACTTGTATTTATTGATAATATGATGTTGACATAAGCAGCAGATACGTTCTGAAGTGTTTTGAGCAAACCTTTCTCCTTCGCTYTTAATAGTGTGTGGTCACAAAACATTGAGATCTTAGATACAGGTAGTCAAAAAGAGTTTTCACAATGGCTGGGATAGAGAGGGAAAAGTTGGGTTATTCAGGAGAAACTTGGATTAAAGCTGCTACTCCTCCAGTGGCCGTAGTTTGAGCATCMATGGATGTTTTCTGGCTGCCTCCCTAGAGAAAATTGCAGGGCATGTCCAAGGGAAGTCTCAAAACTTACTGAAGAGACCGTGCCATTGCTGTCCTGGAAATGCCTTGTATTTGTCCAGGAAAAACTGGAAAAGGTGGCTGTGGAAGGGTTGTCTGGGCCTCCCTGCATCACGCTGCTAATGAATGGATTTGTTGTCGATTGTTACTTTGTCTTTAATAAATAATCACTGCCCTCAAAAAGCAG